ATTAGCGTTAGATATGCCTATAAGATGGAACTCAACTTATATTATGCTTCAACAATGCATCCCTTATAAGAATGCTATAACAAACTATATGTGTGCAAAATTAGGAGTAGGACATATAGATGAATTTGATTGGCAAATTGCCGAAGTTTTGTATCAATTTTTAGGTAGGTTTCATGAAGTTACTCTAAAGCTTAGTGGAACATACTACCCAACATCACCTTTAGCTTTAGGAGAACTTTTAAGAATTAGTATTTTATTTCACGAATATAGGGAGGACCCAATCTTAGGAGTTCCTATTCAGTCTATGGAAAAAAAATTTAAAAAATATTGGTCTAAGTTGCCTTTGTTATGTGGTTTAGGTACAATTTTTGATCCTAGATTAAAATTAGACGGTTTAGAAAGTGGTTTAGAAAACTTAGGTGAATTTTTAGGCATCACTTGTACGGACCAATTTTCAATAATAAAGGCGAAAATATATGAGATCTATAGTAAATATGAGATTAGGTTTAGAAGCACAAACTCTAAAGTACAAGAACCACAACAACAAGATGAAAACCCGCATTCATTCTTGAATATTTTCGGGTTAAAGAAGAAGAAGAAGACAACTCAAATGGAAGCTGTGAGTGGAAGTGGATCTTCATCAACAAGTGGCAGTGGTGGCAGCAGCTTCAACGAGCTTGTGGCATATCTCAGTGAAGGCTTAGTAGTCGGCAGTGCGGCAGAATCGTTTGACTTAGTTCAATGGTGGAGGGTACGGGCATTAACTTGGCCAATCCTAACTCGATTGGCAATGGATATATTTTCGATCCCAGTCTCCACTATTTCATCCGAACAAGCTTTCAGTACGACAGGAAGAATACTTGAGGAACGCCGAAATGCATTGCAAAGGGATATTGTTGAAGCCTTGGTTTGCATTAAGGATTGGGATCGGGCCGATCAACGTCTACAAGATACAATTTCACCGGTAAGCCAAGAATGGATCGATGAATTTAATCGATTAACATTTAATTTTGAAGACGATCCCTCAGCTTCAAATTAAATTGTAAATTTGTAATTTGTAAATATGTATTTACTTTTTACATTGTATTTGTAATTTAATAAACAATGTAAGTTTGTACAATTTGTAATTCGTCACAAAATGATTGCACTCTTTTTTCCTTGCCAAGTTTTGATCCCAATTGGGTTTTTCTTGGTAAGGTTTTTAACGAGGCAATCATGAATTACAAATTTAAAAATTAATAAAGAAATAATTTTTTTATATAGTTCGTGTGTTCGTTTCAAATTGTAATATATATATATATATATTAACAAAAAATAACTTAATATTAAAAAAAATTTTAAATAATTCGGGCAATTCGGGTGGGCTCGGGCCGCCCGGCTGGGCTTGGGCCGCCTAATACAAGCCCACGGCCCGTTCAAGGTGAAATTCGGGCTCAGGCGGGCGGCCCGAATTTCTCGGGCGGCTCGGGCTGGGGTAAAAACTCGGGCTTTTCGGGCGATCGTGGGCGGCCCGTCCAAAGTTCCAGCACTAGGCAATAGTGTGAGTTTGCGGAGACCCGTGAGACGCCGAAATATCTGGGTTAGCGCGTCTCCAATATGTCCATTCCCTTATATGCTCGGATATATTTACTCTCTCTGTTTGCATATCTTGTTATAAGATTATGGAGTTTTTCCTGGTAGGATCAAAAAATAAAATTATCAGTAATTTTATTTTTTTCAGCCATTTTTAATTGTTGTATCTGTATTAGAAAATGTTTATTTTACATATTTTTTTAATTTTATTTAATTTTGATTAGATCCAACGATCAGAAAACTAGTCCTACCGAAAGGAATGCCTACCAGAGACAATCCCCTAAGACTATTTGCAAAATTTATCACAAGTTTTTTTTTTTTTTTTTAAAATTGATTTATTTAGGGTACTTTAATCTTTTCAGAATAAACCATTATTGGGTTATGAAAAAGAGTTTAAAATTGGACAACCGTCGGTCAATCTCAATTTGTTTATTTGCACTTTTTATTAATGTTTTGTTTGGTATGGTAGGAGAAAAAAATGAGTGTTCAATTATATTACCATCTTATCAATTATTTGACATTATTTCAGTTTTTTTTTTTTAAAAAAGAAAAAGTTATTTAACTAGGCATGACACAACAAATTTTCCATTAAAAAATCTCCACTTTTGGAGGGATAAAAACATGTCCTGTTTTCCATCTAATTTCTCTCCTACCAAACAACTAAGAATTTTATTTTCTCTTTAAAAATCTCTCCACCATTTTCTTTCCTCTCAATTTTCACCTATACCAAACATAGCATAAGAGTTTAAGAAGCTTCATGTCAAGAAAAAAGAGTTGATCCGTTTAAAATTCCCACCGCCATTTTCTTTCTTCCCAATTTTACCTCTACCAAACATAACATAAGAGTTTAAGGAGCTTCATGTCAAGAAAAAAGAGTAACGGATCAAATTACAACTTTGTATATATTTTGGGAATGAAACGCGCAATTTACCCAAAATGGAAGCGGGCGTAATTTTCCGACTCTTCCTTTGGCCGCTTCTTGTTCTTCGCTTTTCTTTTTCCCTCCAAAATCACCGCATTATATTAGTGCGTGCGTACACTACGCCATTGGTTCGAAATTGAATTTGTATGTGAAAATTCATTGTGAAATTAGGGTTATGCGTTCTTTAAGGTTAGCGAATTTAATGTACTTTTTTTGTCTGTAAAATTGTTGTCTGAATTAGGTTTAAACTTTAAACATTTCTGAGTGTAATGGCCGGTCAATCGGATCCTCATCCTTCTCACTTTTCTGCCCAAGAGGTCTCTCTCTCTCTCTCTCTCTCTCTCTCTCTCTCTCTCTCTCTCTCTACATATTTTGGTTGGGATTATGGTTTTTGATGTCGTCTTTGTTGAATTGTTTTTGAAATTTTGAAAATGCTAAGGTTGAGTTCATGGCCGAGGACGAAATTATCGAGATTGTGCCCAATATGAAGATGGAACCTCTCAATTTAATCTGTGTATGTTTCTCCATTCTTTTTAACCCCAAATTTGCTCTTGATTTTTATACAATAAAATAAAATAAAATGAAGTATTTGAGGGACTTTTTTGCTCTTGATTTGTGTCTCGTTTGATGCAATTATGCCGTTTAACTTATTACCTTACGATAATTTGGTAACAATTGTGCATTCTTGTAGGGGGATTACGGTCCATTTTTCCCCCAAATGGTTACCCAGGTGCCAATTTGGCTGGCCATTGCTTTGAAGAAGAGAGGGAAATGCGCAATTCGACCTCCTTCGTGGATGTCCATTGGTGAGTGAGTTTTTGCTTTGTTGTGCAACTGATGCAGGTCAAGAGCATATTTGAACTTGGGTCGGTTTTAAGTCTAAGCTTGGATGGTATTTAAGGGGTCTAATTGCGCTTCTCCTATTAGTTTTAACCTTTGGGAGGAATGATTGCGTCCACTCCTACCCAACCATTGTTTTTTTTTTTTTTTTGGACTGACCGGTTTTCTTAAAGTCCCCACAAATCAAATCTTAATCCAAGGCTGTTTTCAATTTTTTATGATGTCTGTTGTGTTTGTTGGAAATGTTGAACAGAAAGCTTGACTCGGATTTTGGAATCAGAGCGTGAATCTCAAGAAGCGTTTCAAGTCCTGCCTTTCCATTATGTGGAAATCTCAAGGCTTCTTTTTGATCAGTAAGTATTTGAATTAAATTAATTAATGATGGTGCTTAGTTTATCACACTTTGAAATATAATGGTTTTGGCTTTACTTTTGTTTGTGATAGTGCACGCGATGACATTTCTGATATATACATGGTGAGTACTTTTTCTTTCATCTTTTCTTTACCATTTCTCATTTTGTTTCCCTCTAAAATTTTTTCTGACTTTAAAAAAAAAAAAAAATTTCCTTTAGGTGAGATCTCTGATTGAGGACATCAGAGATGTAAGATTTCATAAAGTCGAGACTAGCTTGGAATCATTTGAGGATGCTCGCTCATCTGCTGTGAGGGTATGTACTTTTCTTCATTAACGAATTTATTTAGACTGATTGCTGAGGTTGATCTTCTATCTTTGAAAGTTGTTCTATTTTGTCCATTGTAAATGAGTAATGTAGAATCCATTCTTTTTGGATCGACGAGTTTTTCTATTTCGTGTGCCTTTTTAAGTCTGAAGTTAAGTGGTTAGTAGACAACCCAAACTATGGGAAATTAGAGCGTGCTTTAACCTGCAATCCGACTATTGTCAGACTGTATTGCTGAGACAGTGTATAGAATAACTGACAATATAAAGATAAGCAATGGAATGTAGATGAAATATTAACGGAAATTCATGTGAATAGTAAATCCGTTGATGGGAAAACACTGTAAAATATTTATATGCGGCGCTGATCACGTGGTTGTGCAAATTAGCGTGTGATGTCTAAATAGTTTCAGGCTATGGATTTGGCATGCATATTTGATACTTCTTTGTCTCGAGTGTATATGAATGTACTAATTCTTAATATTGTTATTGCTTGTGTAGTTTTTGTATGTGTGCATTAGGCATGCCTGTGGTTGTTTGTGAGGAAAAGAAAGCAATATGGATTTTTTGAAATTCTGCTTGTGCATTTATCCCCTATTTTTCTTTCATATCCCATCTCTGATCTTTGTATCCTTAAGCTCCTTATGTAATTGCAGATTAATAATTTATCTGCTATGGAAGTGAATATAGTACGACCATTTGTTGGTCGGGCTCTACAGGCGTTTTATAAGCATGGCAGTCCAGATCTGATTCCGAATCCGGAGAGAGTGTCTAACTCTATTTCTAACAGATGGCAACAAGCACCTGATCAAGGACAAAGAGTATGCTAATAATTTATGCAAGGGGTTTTGAAAGTTGGTTTGTTTTTCTAGCATTAGTCTGTATATTGTTCTATAATTAACTATTCTTTTTGTTCTTTTGTTCCACTTCCAGCGTCCTCTACGGAAAAGGTGAAGACTTCGAGGATGATAATAGGCATCTTTGCATTCAATCTAGAAATGTTGATCCCAGTATGCTAGCAAGAAGGGCACTTCTGTCTTCTGTGGAAGCTTCTATCAATAGAATCCTTTCCTGGTTGGTCATTTTGGTGACTTATTCTTCTGGATTTTGGGTCCTCACCTGGTCGTGATAATTGTTGTTATGTAGTAGCATTCTGATTCAGATGACAATAGGAAAAAAAAAAAAAAATTCAATATATGATACTACTCGTTTGCTACATATAATGAGGAATACAGTTTTGCTTTTGCTTTTAGCATTGCTAGTGTGATTACTTCTATGGTCTTTGTCAACATATATTTGCAGCATGTAGTTGATTGGATGACACCTATTCATTTAAAATCAGTGGCATGGCGTTATTTTTGCTTTCTTAGATTCCTGATTTTTTTTTTCTTTTTTTGGTCCCTTGCAATTGCTTCCCCTGCGGTAAAAACAATCCCATAGCATGTCTTTGTGTTGGATTTTGGTGAAGGAAAATTGGGTTATAGTGATTTTTCTACGTAGTTTGTAGTGTTGGCATTAACTAACGACTTTCAGCAGTATGAAAACATCTGCATTTTGTATATTGTCAGTGTCAACTATTTCACCTCTAGCTTATCTTTCAGAATCACATTGAGAAATCCGTCACTTCATTTTTTTTTTTTTTCAGATTCCTTTACCTATGTTCGATTATGGCGATGTTTCTCCCATCACAACACGCGCATTTGGTCCACCATTTTACTTGTTAGGCCAGCCTACCAAAATAAAAGGCAATTGCAAGGCTAAGAATCCCTTAATAAACCTAAACTTACATTTTAAGAAATTGTTTCATGATATTGCCCGATAAAAAGGAGAATTTGGCTAAAATTACCGAGTAAAAAAGTAAAATTAGGAAAATGACTTTTAAATTTTAATTTTATTTATTTTATTTGAATAAATTCTTAATTATATAATTAATAGGTATTATTAACAGAAGTGGCCTCCTTCCTGAGGCCAAATACTAAATTCGAGCTCTGCTCCTTCTCCTCCCTTCTTCGAGCCCTCACGAACAACCAAGAAGGCAAGAGAACGACCCAAAATCCTCATCCCCCTCTCTCTCCCCCTTCAGAACCTCCGAGATCTCTTTCCTTATGCTGGAGTTCTCAAATTTTGTTCTCCAAAAAGTTCTTCCAATAATTTCTTCTTCTTCAAAGCACTTAATCAAACAAAATATGACAAAAAATTTTTCAATCTTGCGGATCTAGAGCTTTGATAGCTGGGGAGAATGAATGTGAAGAAATCAAAAAAATTTGCCATGATTGAGCACTTCGTGAGGGAGGAGAAACGGAGCTAGCTTCAGGGAGGGTTTTGGGTTCCTCTTTTTTTTCGTTTTTCTTTCTTCTCAGAAAGTTAAATTTGCCGTGTCATCTCATTAAATTTCATTACTTATTATTTATTTGTCATATTTTAAAAGAAAGTCATTTTACAAATAAAAATTTTTAAATTGTTATTTTATGAATAAAATTTTTCTATTAGATTATTTTTACAAAGAGCTCGATAAAAAGTAATGTAAGCCAATTGTACTTCGTTTTCATTTTTATTTTTTCCATTATTATTTTGTTAGAGAGTGCGTGCGTGTGTGCGGGTGTGTGTATCTTAAGAAAATGAGAGTTAATTCATGCTAGTGGTTCCTTTTAGGAAGGGACACCTCGTTACTGACTAAGGTCACTGGCTCGAATGGTCCAATTTTTTAGCATAAGCTGGAGGTGAAATTACTTGAAAAGTGATACTTAGGGTCACTGTGTGCGTCCGTCTTGAGTTCCCTTGGTCTTGGTCTGAATTTGTAGGATTTTTGCATTTATTTTACTGTTAAATTGTACATCTCTATGGTTAATAGTTGTTAGTCCCTTAACTTTTACTATAGTGACATTTTAGTCCTTAAACTTTTAACTGAGGCATATATTTAGTTTTTGAACTTTCATTTTTTATAGTTTGTTCTTGAAAGTAAAATTGATGAACGATTTCTGAAACTTAACCTAGATAATCACACCATTATCTCATACTAACAAAACATTTTACATAAATAGTTACAGTATTCCAAAATAATTTAGTGTTTTTTTTTTATAGGTTTTAATAGTACAAAGAGAGTTTTACATATAACGCAACTCTTTTCATAAAATTTTAAACTATCACACGATGTTTATCTTTGTGAAATTTTAGAAATTATTAATTTTATTGTCAAAAACTAAAACTGTAAAACAATGAAAATTCTGGGACTAAATATGCTTAAGGACTAAAATGTCACTATGCTCAACATTGACGGACTAACAGAGCTATTAACCTAAATCTTTAGTTACCTTGAACATTGATACATGTGCACCACACGTGCGCTTTTACCAAACTTTCCAGTAATTGAGCTTGGTGACCTAATTTCTAAAATTTGAACGATCAAGTAATTACATGTTGAAAAACTTCGAAGCATTTGCACCTATTACTCTAATGACCAGGTGAACTACCTTCCCTTCAGTCATTATTAGTTTAGGGGTTTATTTATTCATTTGTATCTTTTCAATTTTGGCTAGACGGGATAACGTCTGTGTTAAGTCAATGACACTCCTATTGCGACATTGGTTCAAGACATACCTGATAACCGAGGTTTATTAAAGTATATACATGTCTGGATCATTCTTGCCTGGCCTGAAAATTTAGGTCAACATAGCATCTCTCTCGATCGATAATGTTTTGCGGGATAAAGTACGCTTCTAGTTTTTTCTTTTTTTTTTTTTTTAAAAAGAAAAAGCATACGACTTTTATACTTTGATCTCTAGTTCTTAATATTCAAGTCTATGATTTGAATTTAAAATTTGAGTTTTGTTACAATAAAAACTTTTAGAAACAGTCACATTTAACTTTTTTGTTAGAGTAAAAACCTTTCACATAAAGTCACATCTCAATTCGAATTAAAAACTCGAATCAACGAATTAAACGAGCCCTATATAAGTGCTTTTTAAATGGGGTATGAATTGCTTCAATTCTCAAAACCATTTGTAACTGACAATGTAATTTATCCGATTTTCTCATGCTTCGATTTCAAGTCATATGTATATCTCCAGTAATAGAAAGAAAAAAAATTCCTGTTGCCTACCAATGAAGTCCGTAACTGCCTGCCTGCATTTGTGGGTGTGCAAGATATGCACCTAAAGTCATTGCAGTGATGGCTAAATATGGCAAACGAATAAATTCCTTGTAATAATCTTTGGGCAACTTTTGCCGTCCATCAAGAATGGCTGCAAACGGTACGATACTCGTGCGCCTCTTCACAACCTCAAAATCTTCCCCATATCTAATGGCCAGCCTCCTGTCACCATTCCAAACACCAAATAGATGATGTCCAATTAAGCCAATTGAAGCCGCCACTGCCACCGAGTTTCCAATCCAAATTGTGTGCGCAATGCACCAAATGACCTGCCCAACCATCTAAGAATAGATATGGAACCCGTATTAGCTAAGTGAATCCAGAAGAGAGAGAGAGAACAGAGCATTGGAGAGATGCGGAGCAAGACAAGGCTATAAGAGGGAAAGCAATAGGTTACAATGTATAGAAATAACAACATTACATTCTCAATAGCACTTAATTTGCATTAGAATTTGCAAGCATATTTATTGGCGTCCATATTATTGCATTTAAGATAGTTGTGCTGGTAATAAATAATACTTTACGACAGCATTCTTTTCAACTATACGAACAATCCACATAACATTATACTTCAATTCATTGATCCAAAGTTCCATAGCATTTTCTCTGATGAACAGATACACATGGTGATATGAAGCAACATATGCAGTTTGTAAAATGGAACATTGAGTTCCAGTCCTCAAAATCAGTTGTGATTTGACGAAATGGATTCAATGGTCCTAATTAAATATGGAGTACATTGTACTTGTACCTAGATCATCGAAACCAACACAAGCATTTATCTCAATTTCCAGAAATCCTTTTAGTTCAAAGAATGAATTTCCTAAGTGTGTAAAAGTAACCCAAATGAAAATCTGTTTACCTGTGGATGCCTTGTGATTCTCATTATCCCGGTTTCCCAAAGATGCATTTTGGGCTTGTCAACTGCCGCTACCTCTAGAAGATTAAAAGTGGAAGGGTAGAGGAGGAAGAAGGAGATAAAAGACGAAAGCCACACAAGTTGATGGACTCCAGGAATACTCTGGAGCTGCCATAATTGTTGCCCATCATATCTGTGGTTAATAAAATAAACCTGAATCACAAACATTTCAAAAGTCAACAAGTCACTTCAAATAAACTTCATTTGCACCCTAGAAGGAACAATAATCAAAATAAAAAAAAAATAGCCAATAAAAGCTCTTCTTTAGAGAGTACTCACAACTGTGCTAACAGCCAATGGTAGAGATACCCCAGCAAACAAAACACGGAAAGCTCGTTCCCCAATAAGTTTCTCACCCGTGTCTCTTAGACTGGCCAATCCACTGTGCACCAGGGCAAAAATTACAATGAGGATCAACATTACAACCTGCACATTTATGTTTCAATATCAGCCTTCTTAGCCAAAACCTTAATACGTAGGATCTAGGCTTCAACTAGTAGAAAGAGAATAAAACAAGGAAATTACGAATAATTGTATCCTTAAAGATTCTAGAAAACTTGAAGCCAAATGAAAGGCTAAAAGCAGAAAGTACTAGGCCCCTATTTCTCCCTATCCATCGCTGATTATTGCATGAAACCAGAAGGCATAGAAAGAGAAAAGACAGTACGCATGAGCAAGAAAATGTATGCACCAACTCTCAAATAATGCTCTTTTAGACAATTTTAGACTGCTTATATTCCAAAATCCAGCAACATCAAATTCGTCCGCTATCTCATGAAACAACTTTTACCCTTACACACACCAAAAAGTAGATACAGTAGGATACTTCTCAAGCAAAGCCCAAAAGATAAAGCGCTGCAGGGTAACCTAAGCTTGATTGGTTTCATGGCCGGTGTTCTATTTGAAACCCAAGAAACTTGTTCAAAAGAGTGTTTTTGAGAAACAAAAACGCAAATAATGGCAAAAGATAAAGTAAATTCTACATATCAACCAGAAACCAATGGAATTTGAGCCAGAACCTTCGCGTCGGCAAGAGCCATAACCAAATCTTCTGGTTTTTCCTTTCGGATGCTTTTTTCATCAATGTCTGCAGTCTATCAGTAGAAAAATGAAGTTCCAGTCTCAAAACAATCAAAGAATTCAAAACCAAATATTTCTTCCGGAAATTGTACTGTTACCATGATTGTGAAATCGTAACCCATTTCCGCCAATATTTTCCGACGAGCTACCGAAGACGATCCCAAGATTATCTGCACAATTACGCAAATAAACACCAAAATTTAGCAGGATAATCAGATTATATTATTAACAAATACAGGTTCTGCTCCCGAAAGTAAAATTTTTTTCTCTTTTCTCTATCGTCTTCACCAATAAAAAATGCCCTAAAGTTCCGAGACACAACCTTTCTTTCCGTTCCATTCTTTCACGTTGATGCTTCAAGCACCAAACGAAATAGATCGTCCCTTTAACATAAATTTGAAAGAGAAGATGTGTAGAAACCCTAGCTATCAGGCCTGAAAAATGAAAACAGTGGGGACATACCTTGAACGGAGAAGAATTGGCCGCCATAACTCTCCAATATCCGGGAAGTGAAGTAGCAAATAGGGTGGGAAACTGGTACTGTGCCCTGAATATAGATGGCCTGTGAACGAACGAATTGTAAGATACGCGTTTTTCAACTATGTAAAGAAACGCGTTTTCTAAGGGCGGTTTTCTGATAGAAAACGCGGTTTCGGCGTTTCTCTTACGTTAATTGGGCACCTTTTTTAAAAATATGAGAAATAGTAGAAAATATGCCAATATAAAAAGCTTAAGAAAGTATATAGGTCAATTTTTAGTTATAAAAATTAATAGGCCATAACTTATCAAGTTATGGTTCATAACGAGATAAATTATGGATAAACTTATCAAGTTATGGTTCATAACCAGACAAGTTATGGACAATTATGGACAATAACTTGTCAAGTTATGGTTCATAACCAAACAAGTTATGGATGAAAACAGTAATTTTGCCTATTTATTAACTTATGTAAACTATTGGCCTATTAATTTTAATTTATCTTAAGTCTTGGTTTATTTTCCTCTTTCTCTCTTAAAATATTGAAAACAGTGCCGCCCTCTCTCAAAAAAGGCCGATGGTTTCTCAAAAGATTATTTTCATAATCATCCCCGAAAAACAGTTCAAAACACCTTCTATCATATAAAAAACGACTCAAGATGTCCTTTTTATCTAACTCCATGTATATCCTCTAACAGAATTAGTGATGTGTCACTCCTTTTAAAATATTTAAACTTAATTAAGCTGAAAAAATTGAATTAATTACTTAAAACTATTAAGGGCCAGTTTGGTCATGCTGTAAATTTTAAAAAAAATTATTTTTAATTGTACTGAAAAAAATAGTTGTTACAAAAAGTATTTGAGTGTGTTAAATTGTTGTGGGTAGCAACTGAGTGTGTTAAATTGTAGATAGTTAAGATGACTATAATTAATTAATGTATTAATAAAAAGAATTAGTATATACATAATCTATTAATATTTCTTTTACTACTTAAATTATTAACTTTTAGTTACATAATTAAATAATTAGTTAATTAATTACTAATGTTTATTTAATAATCTATTATTTGATATATCACATGATTAATTTTTAAATAATCATTATTTAATATTAATTATTAATTGAGTAATTACTATTTATTTTTTAATTACTAACTATTTGCTAATTAATAGATTATAATTAACATAATATACCATTGATATATTAATTATTAATTAATTATTTAATAACTTATTATTACTTGTTTTATTGTTAATATGTTATATAATTAATTTTTGGTAATTAATTTTTAACTAAATAACTAATTACTATATTATTTATTATTTTGTTAACAAAATTAAAAACTTAATAGTAATAAATTAATATTTGATTAATAATTAAGTAATTACTATCTATTTATTAGTTATTAAGTATATCTATTTATTAGTTATTATTTAATATATAATATAATTAGTAATTAATAATTAATTATTTAATATAACATTGTTGATAAGTACTAGAAAATGAAAACGAAAAGGGAAAAATAACTTTCAATTGTTTTCTACTTTCTTAACAAAAATCGTTCTCATTGTTTTTGGTTTTCATTTCCGTTTTCAAAACTTTTATTAAACAAACGCGATTTGTAGACCGTTTTCGTTTTCATGCCTCAAAAAACGTGCAAAAATATTTTCAAAAATAACTGAAAAACAATTCCAAACGCACCTATCTTTTCTCACAACTAGAATCACTTTTACATACTTTCACTTCTGACACTAGCACATCAGCTAGTCAGGTCCATGAAGTTAAATTGTTAAAATTATCTTTGGTAAAACCCAATATCAGTTTTCACCTTCCCTCCTCAGTTTCTCTCTTATTTGAATTCCCACCTTTTTTTCCTCTCTCTCAATTTCTCTTCATTGAATTCCCACCTTTTTTTCTCTCTCTTCATCTCTCTTCATTTGAACTCCCGCTATTTTTTTTCTTACTCACTTTCTCTCTCTTCATTTGAATAAGCCACACATATCCCTTCAAGTTCTCTCTCTTCATTTTCTCTGATTTCAGGTGTGCCCACACACACGTTCTTTATAGAATCAAGGAATTGACGAGAAAGATTTTTGGTGATATGAGAATAGGAGCATTTAGATTGTTCGTGGTCAAAGAATTCAAGTTACCATCCTAATCAGTCATTAGGTACAATTCTAGTTCTAAACTAATTAGGTTAATTTATTCGTTATAAATGAATATAATCTATAGCGTTCTTAAAAGTTTTATGAAAATTTTTGTTTGGACCTGATCCGAGTTACTGCACTTCCGCATCTGAAATCGTTTTGAAAACCAACAATGTTTCCTTCGGCTCTCTTGTGGTTGGAAGGAGTTTAAGATACCAAGGAGAGATTGAATGACGTATGTCCACTCGCACTTCAATCGTACAAAAGAAAATAGCAAAGAGAACTAGTTGGTTGATGCTCTTCCAAGTGTTGTCTAGAACGTTATTTTCTGTCAGATGTGTTGTTTTTAAAATCTCTAAAGATATGATTTAGATTTTGGTATCTATGTTATATAGCATCATTAAAATTTTCTAGATAGTTTTAGTAAACAAAAAAAAATTTCAAATTTCATTGCACAATTCATTGCCCTTTTTCCAAACACTTAGGGGGCGTTTGGTACGCAATAATCAGTAGGAATCATATTCCTGGGAAAGTGATGGAGGGTAATATCATTTACAGAAATAATACATTATTGTGTTTGGTTTCATACAGGAATTTTTCTCAAATTCCCAGGAATATTACATTACCGTGTTTAGTTGTACATTGGAATGTTGTGTATTAAAAAAAACATATTTTTTAAATGAATTACAATTAGCACTAATGTTTTAAAAAGTATAAAATATTTTTTTTAATATTTAGGCCACAACATTAGCACTAATATTTTAAAAAGTATAAAAAATAACACAAGTAGTCTATAAAATTATCAAATAATAGGGGTCTCATTATGTTAGCTAAAATCCTCTATACTCAAAAGTTCTTACGAAAGTTCTAAACATGAGAACATATTCTCGAATAAGGTTCCAAACCTGTAATTAAAAGTTGTAAATCTAGGACCACATATAAAAGTTCCAAAGATGCCATAAAAAGATCTAAATATTGGACTATATACTCAAGTTTATAAATATAGCACCAAAAGCTTCAACCTAACTCATTCCAAAAGAGATAGAAGAAAATCTAACTTAAATTCATCATCCAACGTGAAAAAATAGTTGGTGTAGTCATAGTTTTAGACAAGAAGTTTCCCGACTCGTACTCGTTGTGCATTTGTTAGTCCTTCTACCTTCTTCACTTCATCAAACACATGCATCCTTCTTGCAGTACTATCAGCCTCGTATCATCTAAAAAGCAGTGATGCAACATAAGTGATGCAACATAAGTGGAAGCAATTTACAGTAAGAGTTCTAAAATTTGAAGACTTGACAAATGCTTTCCCAAAGAAAGAAAGAAAGAAGGAAATTTGTAAGATTCAATAAGTACTCAGTCTAGACAGCATGTACTAAAACCAAGCTCCATTAGATAATTGCAATACTCGTTATGGAGTATTGAAATAAAATAACAACTAAAAAACTGCACAACCAAAAAACTTTTGAATCATAGGGCCTTCAGTGGTAATAAACATGATGCATTTTTTATATTCGTCTCTTTATTGTGAATACATAGAAAAAAAATCATTTTAATCAGAATTAAAATGAAAAAGTTATGGTGTTTTTAAGAATAGAAAAAATATTGTTCATTAACTTGAGTTTGAATTTAAGAACTTGAGTTGAATGAGGAACTTAAACTCAGGAGTTATTCTTTTGCAATAAAACTCAGAAAAAATTTAAATTCAAGTTATAATTTTATTCAAGTTCACGTTATTTTAAGTTCTACTTTTACTCAACTTTACTTAACTTTATTCAAGTTATAACTTTAACTCAAGTTATAACTTAAATTTAACTCAAATTATAACTCAAATTTAACTCAAAAACTACACTCAAGTTACACTCTAAAGAACAACCTCTCAGATTTTAACCTCAAACTCAAATTAAAACTCAAATTCAAATTTAAATTTTATAAAAGAATATAAACATAAATGAAATTATAATT